TATCTTCCTTATCTCCCCCCAGGGCTAGGAGGTCTTTAGCACAGGCCTGGCTTCATGTATGAGAAAGAAGCCTGGCAAATGGTTTAAAGTAAAAACTATAGTGGTTGTGCCAACTCCTGCAGGATGAGTGCCAAGATCCAGAACATGGCTGTTCCCCAGCATTTGGCAAGGCGGTGACATCTTGTCACTGCTGTCCTCAAGCACTGTGGCCCACACAGGTACACCAACCAGTTGGTTGGGGTAGGATGCAAAGCAGTGCGGGAAAGCAGAGGGAAGACTGCCAACCTTTTCCCAAGGAAAGTCACAGCCATGTTTCTTCAAAAGCATCTACTCCAATGTGACATTACTCCCGATTGCATAGAGAATGAAGTCTCCAAAGTTATTTCCCACTTACACTGATGTGCCACATGGGTTCAGTCTTCTGTATTCAGGTCTCCCAGTCTATGCTGATCATAAAGAGTGTACACATAAACTCTCAGCAAAGGAGAAAACTACCCAATTCCAGTAAAGCACATGCCTGACACAGAAAGCTGTGAGTGCTCTTGGAGCTAAGTGCTGACTCTTGGGAAGGCGCCTAGAGCTGGAAGGGAGAGAAAAAAGAAAACAACATAAGAAAAGGAAGTTTGTTTTTACATTTAATTCCTCCTGGGTTCAGAGAAGCAGGGTTTTATATCTTCATTATAAATAAGCTATATAGCGTCTACACAGTGTTAACCATCACCAGTTTCATCTTTTGGTGGGAAGAACCTACAGGTCAGCTATGACCAACTTTATGTTTGAAAGTATTACCATGCTAGACATGTTAGTGAACAGTTCTAGAGTCCTTTTGTCATACCATAGGTTAGTCATCGCTCAGTGCCATTCTCCTGTCTTCTTTTATGCGCAGGGATGGCCAAATCTTTTCTTTCAGAGACTGCTGCAGGGCATGAGAGTTTTCTACCCTGAAGATCCTGCAGATGCATGGTACTGATGCTCCTTTCTGTCTGGAAATTTTCTCCACTGCCAAAGCCTCAAGGTATTCCAGGTTCTTCCAATTTCCCCTTCTTTACAAAATGCCCAAGTCTCACACTGCTGCATAGCTGTTGGAAACATTAATACTATCTGCAGCTTTTATGCAGGTGACTATTCACTGCAACATCCTATACAAGTTCAAGTTTGGTGGCATGGCTTTCTCCTGAAATGGGTATTAAGTTTGGCATAAGGTTTGCTGATTGCAAAATGGTGTTGGCCACTGCCCTGCTATGATAGCTGCATATCAGAAATACATTTGAATAAAGAGGTTCAAGAGACAATTATTAGAGCAGCCACAGAAAATAACTAAACTGTCATGTTCCTCTTCAGGACATGGTCTAAGCCTTATGGCCAGCAGCCATCGAAATAGTGTTGTCTTCTGCCTTTGTCCATTAGCCTCCAGTAAAAACACAACTGCAGGTATGTTTCCAGATGAGAACCTTTATCTTCTGCCATTTCCAAGCTCTATGGAAAATTAACTGCCTGGAATCAGTTATGTAAGAAAAAGGAAATTTGAATTTTTGTATGCAAGTACAAACTTAAACCAAGCAAACCATTATTTGTATTTTATTTGCTCTATAAAAAGGTCTAGGAATAGAAAGAACTTTGTGCTGAATATAAAAATGGCATTTTCCTTCCAGATGTCCATAGAAATACTGGTTTAATTTGAAAATAAATTTAAAACCTTAATTTTGTTTTGCTGAAAAGCTCTCTCATTATAAAAAGGATGAGGAAAAAAGGGCGAACTAGTTTCTCTTTGTTTCAAGCTCACTGCTTTAAATCCAACAGTGAAGCAACAAACAAAAATTCTAAGGAATGTGAAAAGTTCCTATGCCTATAAAAAGTTGCAATAATACAACACCGAGCTGCAGAACAATGATACTGACGTGAAACGATTTTCATTTCTAAGAAATACCGGGAGAAATGGGAGCTGAGGAATACATGTGCTCTAGCCTCATACCTAATGACATGCATTTATATTTTGCAGGGCTGATTTCCAGTGGCACAGACCTACTAACCCAAAAGGTGCTTCCTCCCTGGAAGACTGAGCTGCGGCAGCACAGGTTGCTCCAGGTTAGACAGCGGGCTGGAGGCTGAACAGTAACTTAGGTCTAGGTGAGAGAGGAGAATATGGATTTAATGCTATAAACTACATATAATGCTATATTTAATATACTGTTCCTGTTCTCACAAGGAGAAACTGCATTCTCCATTAACTGCAATTTTTACATAGTTTTAATAAAGATAATTCACCATTTAAAAAAATGGTAAAAAAAACATTTTTAATATCCACAGTTCATTAAGGTATGAACAAAATTGCTGCTTCCCAGACTCTTTATCACTGCATCTTTCTTAGACTTGTATCCTCAAGGTTCATTTTTCTAAATGGCATAATTTTAGCAGAAAGTAAGGTCAGTGCACTCCCGGATTGCACACTGCCTATCCCTCCTGCAAATGTACAGGTATATGGAGATGCTCAGCACCTCTGAAAGCCAGGCTTGCGATGCTGCTAAAGTAAATGTGCAGAGCATGAATACTGCAATTACCAGAGAATTCAAAAAAAGTAAATCTGTTTTTTTTCAAAGTAAAATAAAACTGGAAAATTAAAAAAATTCCTGAGGTGCTCTTTTTGATCAATTATAACTTTGGCTTCATTTCCATTTAGGCATTTCTTTTATTGTACAATGCAAAATATCAACTACATTGTGAGTAACATAAAAGCTTTTTTTCCAGACAGGAATGCCAGAACACTTCCATTGTTTTGAGGTTTTTTTTTCAAACACATTTTTTAGTAAATACAATTTTACAAAGCAGTTAATCTCAGTAGTGCTAAATTCTCCAATAGAAAAGGGGACTGATTTTTTTTTTGTAATAGAAATGATATAGTCTGGTAATTTTCACATTTAAAAGTTTTATAGTTCTATTTAAATCTTTCCTCTTTTTTTTTTACCAAAAAAAAATCATGTAAGCCCTTTATAATTAATCCGAATGAAAGTGTCTCCTCATGTAAAAACATCTCCCTTGGGTCCAGTCTAGGAATGGTTAAGTTGTATGTTTTCATGCATTTGCGCACTTATAGAAGTTCTGAAATAAAGTAAGTATTGGTGTTGATGGAAGAGGAAAGCACAAATGAAGTGACAGTCTATAAAGTTATCACCTCTGCAGAGATGGTGAAAAGGCAAACTTCGCTCATGTGTCACAGTAAAAGAAGTGACAGCATGAGGAAGCATTCAGATGGAAGGTTTAAAATGAGAGGGGAAGAAAAAAAGGAAGTTTTCCCACAGAAAAATAATTAAACTGAACTCATCGTGAAAAAACATGGTGGAACCCAAGAGAGCGAGTTAAAAATGGATCGGATGAATTCATTGAAGATAGGTCTGATCAACATCCATCAAACACAGGTCTGACCACAGCTCTGCTTAGGAGCAACCCGAGCCCCATCCTCAGGGAGGCCATGCCACTGAAAACCAATGTGTCTCACACTCCTTCCCAAAACTTTGGTATTTGCTGCTGTCGGTGGTGGGACAATCATTGCCTGTGCAGAAATCCAGCCAAATCATAGAGATGCCACATTCTGTGAATGACAGTACAGATACATGTTCCTGGCTCTACATACAGAGGTCTGGGTATGCACGCTGAGATACACATAGCTGGGAACCCACATGTATGTTCAGCTTGAAAAAGCTGGCTTCAGAAGTTAGGAAATTAAAAGGTGTCTCACAACAGAGTTTTTTAGGCATCCTCCTCAAAAAGATACTATGCTAGATACCTCTTCTTAATATGCATTTTTGTTAACAATCTCTTCAATCTAAACTATGAAACAAGCTGTGCAACATGACTGAACGAATATTGCTGTGAGAAATATTTTCCCCCTTGTTTGAGTAATTTAAATTTGTAAGCTAATGTAAGTTTTTGTATTAAATAATGTACTGTGTGCAATTTTCTTTCTTGTAAAGCACTTTGAAGCTTTCAAAGGGCACTCTAGGTTAATAAATAATATGCTATTCTTTGCCAGAACTGTAGGGCATTTCCCATAAGTTCTGAATCTTCTTTGCCAGAATTGCAACATGTTGCATGCCAAATCCTGCACACAAATGTTCTACATGTGGCAAATACATATTGGTGAAGACCAGAGGCATGGCATTCCTGGATTTCTTAGAGAGAGTGGGAGAAGAGAAAGAAGTGGGAAGAAATAATGAGGGAGGGCAGAGAAAGAAAACACAAACATATGTCTGTGCATACATCTAAAGAAACCAACAAAAACCAACCCCCCCGCACCCAGAACAACCCATAACCCACATGCCATTATTTTCAAAGCCTAAACTGTTTGCTGCATGCAGCACAATCTCACAGGTACCCAGAGCTGCGTCTTTAGTTTTCCTTCATGGCTCCTGAAGGCAATCAGGCCTCCATTTCTATGATCACTGTAAATTCTTCAGACCCAGAGGTTTGTAAGGGTCAAAACACCTGCAATCCTCACTTCTCCAAGCACACGCTAACACAGAGAGGCTGCGAGACTGGGGAAGCATGGTCAAGGTCACCACTGTTTAACAGGCTGTGAAAATGAATCCTCTTCTTCAGGCAAAGTTGTGAATGCATTTCATATGTCCCAGGCTACCGGGAATAAACCTAGACCAGGATGTCTAAACAGTGAACACTCGCCTTTTTGCAGTCTCCTCCACGGACAACAAGGCTACTAGTTCTGTAGTTTGGAAAAGTAGTATAAAGCAGTAAGACCCAGAAATGAAGTCAGTGCATTTGGCCACATAATACATAGGTTAGATTACTGAAGGATCCTAGGAGTTCAGAATGTCTTTGATTATGATTTTCTTGATTTAATCTCTTCATTCATTAAGTACAAACAAGTAATTTCAACATTCCTCGCTAGTTTGGACTGAATGTATACAGTACTTCAAACAGATTAACATTTCCTGCCCTGCACCGAATTAAAATGTTGTGACAGAATGGTGACAAAAATTCTTCAGCTAGTTTAAAAGGTACTAAAAACTACCTAGACCCAGTGAGGATTACGCACCAGGATTTGCTACACGTTTAAAAACCAAACTGAAATTAAAACTGCACTCCATATTCTGTGATACTAAATGAACGTTTTACTACATGGTTTCTTTTGAGGTGGCAAGAAGTGACTGTGAAACCTTTGCTGTTGTCAGAATTACACTGCTTAGAGAAAAATATCCTGTGGGTTACCATTTGTTGCCATGATTTACAAAGGTATGGTCTATAGTCTGTATCAGTTTCGTGTGTCAGTTTTAAAGGGAAAAAGCTTTCTGCGGAGTTTGCAGATTTCTGCATAAGCGTCTGTGTTGTTGCAAAGAGGGCTAAGTGATGCTTGCTCACAAGCTTTTCAAGGAAGTTAGCACATTTCTTCAGATTCATCTCCTGCAAGGTGAGACTCTCCCCTCCATTGCTTCTGTCTATCCAGTAAAAAGCTGATATGCTATCTAAAATCAAAAGGCAGAGAGAGGGGTGAGTGCAAAACATGTTTTCTAAGGAGTAGAGAGTGAGGAGTAACTGAGTGCTACTACTGCAGTTCACCAGAAAGAGCCTTCCCAGGCATTGCTTGATCATTTCTTCTGTCCTTTGTGCCAATCTGTTCTCAAGGATGGTAACTAGACGAAGCATATCAAAATGGTAGTCTGTGTCAATGAACATGACTTCCACTTCCAGACCTCCTCCTGATTTTGGGATGATGCAGCGGGCTACCAGGTGATAAAGCATTTCTGTTTTTCCTGTTCCTTCCGGTCCATGGAATTCAATGACATCTCCTGTTCAAAAACAGAGCAGTAGGTTATCAGGCAGGAGTACTTACCGCTCAGAGTCAGTTTTTAGTGTTTACTGAACCAGTACTCACTATTCCAGAAATTGGAAAATGCATTTTAGAATCACAGAATGGTTTGTGTTGGAAGGGACCCTAAAGCTCATCCAGTACCAGCCTCCTGCCACGGGCAGGGACACCTTCCACTGGACCAGACTGCTCAAAGCCCCATCCAACCTGGCCTTGAACACTGCCAGGGATGGGGCAGCCACAGCTTCTCTGGGCACCTGTTCCAGTGCCTCACCACTCTCACAGTAAAGAACTTCTCCATCATATCTCATCTAAATCTCCCCTCTTTCAGGTTAAAGGCACAGAAAATTTAATATTCATAAAATTGTTTAAATCCTGGTTAGTGTCTACCAAAAGAAATTCCAGTTTTCAAGAAAGGCCTCTGAAGTGGAGAAAATCGACTGGGAACAAAGGTTGGAAAAGCCCCTGCAAATAGCATCTAGTACACCAGCATCAGTAAAAGGTTGGCAACTAGATTTCATGTGTATCATTACAGGTAAATGAAGACTGAAAAGTAAGCTGCTACACATGAGTGGCTACGAAACCATCTATTTATCCTACACACACAAAATTAAGAAATAAATAAACAAGTAGAGGACAAGCAAACCACAAAAAGTTGACATATTAGAGGTCCAAATGATGTTGGCACATGTATTTTTACAGCACAGACTGTCCTTCAGCATTTCATGTACGCTACATGCTTGTTCAGTGTCTGTGCACATCGTGAGATATCAAGGGCAATCTGCAACCAGTAAAGAGAATGCCAGTATATTTATTTAGCACTTACATTCTTCTGCGGTGATCATTATATGAAACCGCTGGTTTTGGCACAGGGGACTTGGATTCCTTCAATTCCAGGCAATGATTCTCCTGTCTGAAGCACAGGATCTCTGTTCATAAATGGACTCAGCCTAACCACCTGCTCCACATGGGTCAGTAAAATACAGCTCGCATTTAAAATATTAAAAAACCATGATGCTTTACTAGGAAAGCAGTTTTTTGTCAGATGTGAATGCAAGATATTCTGGTCTTTTCCAGTGTCTTCTGATGTCTTGTATCAGAGCAAGACTAAAAAAAAGCTGAATTACTAGATGCTCTTTATAAATTCTTAATTTTGGGGACTGGATTATTTATTTATGACATTTGGGATTTCAGGCAGAAGGGTGAAGACATGCAGGAGGGAGAATCACACGACTGTAACTGCAGGAAGGTGAGAGATTTCTATGGCCTTGGCAAGTGCAAATGGCATAACAGCTTTTCACAGGGGGGATGCAAGAATAGAGAATTAATTACAACTTTAGTTAAACATGTTTTTGCCTGTCTGAGTTAACAGGGTTTTTCAAGTCACTGCTCAACTTCCAGAGGACGTCCTTGTTCTTAAGTGTGTACAATGTCAAGATATGCCCTGGGAAGAGGGACAGAGGGTGGTGGGGAAAAAACTAAGCTCTTACTTCACCCATTGGAAGTGCTGAAAGCAATTTACACCTGATGTGACAGTTCTGTCCATTCCAGTGACACTCAGACTGCTCGCCATTATGGATAATGAAATTCCTGCTGCTCCACAACTGCAATTCCATTTTATGAACTTCTGATACCTTGAAATTTATAAAAAAGCTTGACTGCCTCCCAAACCCTCATTTTTCTGAATGGCTCTCCCCACTTTCGAGATGAACAACAACTAAACTTCCTATGACATAAATCTTCATTTTCTCTTCCTGTTCACAGGTCGCAGTGTCCAATTCAGCCACTTGCAGCCAGCAGCTGCTCTGCTGCCACAGACTGTGCCAGTTAACATAACCGCGCCCTGTTAGGATAAGATACCAACTTGGAAGAACTCCTCTTAAACGTGCTGGGTAGGTCATTCCCTCACATTTCATCTACTGAAATATTTTAGAACAATTGCATAAGGAACCTCTTGTTAAGGAACAAAGTGCATCTGTCTGCCACTAGCTTTGGCACAACACTTCTGCCAGCCAGTGACTGACTTGGCCAATCTGCAATGATGATTGCTTCATCTACCTTTACAGCAAAATATGACTTAAGACAAACCAGCAGCTACACATGGCCACTGAGAAGCAGCAGTGGGCAAATCTGAGTTACTATTTGGTAATGATTCAGAAAAGCTTTTCCTGTGAAATAGAAGAGGTTGCCCAAAGAAATGGTAAATGTTCCATCCCTGGGAGTGTTCAAGGCCAGGCTGGACAGAGCCTTGGATGGCACGATGTGGGGAGAGGCATCCCTGCTTATGGCAAGGTGTTGGAACTAGATGATCTTAAGGTCCTTTCCGACCCTAACCATTCTATGATTCTATGACTATTCATTTGAAGATGTTCTGTCAGGATGTCTGGGTGTTACAGAATAACACTGGATGAGCTTTTATGGGCACAACTAACAGATTTATTCAAGTAAAAATACTAAATTACATGAAAAATCATTGTTAGGAGTTTTTGTGGCGGTGGTTTGTAAATTGTAACAACAAGACAGTTAAGCACACTTCAAAGCTTGTTCAACACTGCTGAATAAGACACATCTGGGCTGTAGTTTGACCAAAACACGTAAGTCACTCTGAAAGGAGTAACAGCTCGGACTTCAAGAAAACCTCAGGAGAGCCAGGGATTTCTGTGCCTTCATGATTATCAAAGAGGCTGCCCACAAGAAGGACGGGTGCAAAACAGAAGCCATTTATAGTAACATCTATAAATGTAGGGTTTCATTAAATTAGCAACAAGGCTGTTAGAGTAAGATAACAGGGAAATTTCATCCTTTTGGGTCTGAGAGGACAACCCATGATACAGCAGAGGAGGAAGTGTGGTTAGCAACATTTCCAAGAAGCCCCTGACACCCTCACAGCAGGTCAGTACTGGCATCATCTATTAATGTCAAAATAACTTTGAGAGGAAGATTAGTAAAAAAATACTGTTACAGGATGAAAACAGTCTGAGAGACACAGCAGGAACACTTTAACATGGAAGAAAGCTAATGGGAAAATTTCCTCTTAGAATTGGTGCTGTCCTACTACCTCTCAGTAGATGCTTGGCAAAATGTGTGAAAACAAACTGATGGGCTAATAAAGACTTAAGATAGTAAAGATTTACAAGATCAAGATGGATGAGCAGAATGATTTCCTATGAAATTCAGCACTGAACATTCAAGAAGTACTTTTTAAGGAGTCACCTTACACATTGCTTGGCTCACAGTAGCCTGAACTGGCCCGCGAAGGACATACTGAAGAGCACAATAGTACACGGCTGCTCAGTGGCCTACAGGATAAACTAAATGATATTGCATAAATGTAAATATTTATGTAACATTAATGGATTTTTGACTGAAACCGTGCTCAGTCCTGGTCATCAGTTCAGTGTTCTCTTTTGAATTAAGTTTTGTATGTGATCATTACATTAGCAAACATTGGTTTTCTGATGCTGCAGTTACAAACTGGCTATTAGAATATGCAGCAGTAACTCTGCAGGTTTCACATCATCAGATACCTCGACATTACTAGACTAGTAATTTACAATACTGTGCAGAAGCTGTCACTAATATTTGTACCATTTATCCATAAAGTAGAAAGGCCTAATATTTATTTCAAGTTAATTCTGGGTGTCATACTATTGCTGAATTATCAGAGCCTTATACTGACACCCACAACTTCATACCAGTGGCACAGGAGAAATACAACTGCCAACAGTAGAAGATTATTTAAAGCTCGTGTCACTTTTGCTCCATTCCAGAAGAGCTTAAATGATATGTAATTAACATGCTTATGTGTTCTTCAATATGCAAATCCATCATAATTAGAAGCAGTGACTAGAATATCACAGCACTACCTATATTAGCTGTTCCTATTTTATAGTACTCTGACATACATGTTATGAACACTTAACTATGATGTAACCTTTGGGCAGTTTATTGAAACTTCATCTCTATGTTTCAAATACCAGCAGGAAAAAGAATAATTTAGGTCTTTGCACTCCTTTAATCACAGCATTTTAGATTAAGAGCTGTTCAGTATGGCTTTCATGGGCAATGTATTACAGTATTCCACAGTGACCTACTAAAAGTCAAGTTCATGACAAATGGAGAGGCAGGTCTTCAACAGGAATTTAAGACTGAATAATGAGAACACACATCAATATAGCATATGGACTCACATGAATACTGTGGTATTAAAAGACAAAGCAAAAATGTAATAAAAGGTGAAGTCCATTTATGTATACACAGCTAAAGGTCTGGGCTAAAACGTTACGCAGCTTCATTAATGTCAGCCAAAAAGCACGACCAATACGGGTAATAATTGATGCCATTTGTTAAAAGCAGAAAAAAGAAGTGCTTCAGAAGCTCAACGATCATGTTGGCACAGAGAAACCAGTGATGAATTTAGAAGGTCTCCAGCCATGTTAGAACTAAGGTTCTGGAACAGTCTTTGGATAGACATGAACAACCTACACAGCTTTTAAGAGCAAAGCTGATAATTTGATGATGGAATTACATAATGCTGTGGGCTGTGACAGCAAAGACAATTACTAACTCCCAGGAAGGCTTCTGACAGTCTGTTCTACCAGAACATGGCCAGTTTAGTCTCAAACATTTGCTTCCTGTGGTACACGTCAGAAAAAAAACCCCAAACTTCAAATTGCAGACAAGTATGTTGATAACCACTGCAGCCACGTTTTTCATTTGAAATTCATTCATTAATTCATACTTACATTCAACAACTGTAGTGCATCCCAGCACAATCCCTACAGTTTGCCACTCATAACGCCTTTTCTACTATAGATTTCTAGTCTCCTCCATTGTGAAATCCATGAAGTTTTACACAATCTGAAAAATCAGTCTGACTCCCTGAATAATCAATTACTGTGTTTTCTCCTTAGCTCCATAATTTCTTTCCTTAAAACATCCAATCTTGATCTTAAAAACTTCTTGCTAGAAGAATCTACCTTAAACTTGTGCTGGTGTTACTGGGAGGTAGCCTGATTCCTCCAGTGTGAAATTCTTATTTATTCACTGAAGGTCTATATAAGCCACTTTGATCCTAACATCATCTGCAAACTCATTTAGCTGATTAGTACCTATATTCATAATGGAATTGTTTCCAAAGTTCCATCTCAGTATAATCAGGATTTTTCAGGCCAAGACTGAATAGCTCGATGACTTGGCTTTATTGACAGTGTTTGCTCATGAACCTCAGACCACTCCATACAACTGAACTCTTTGCTGTTTATTGATCCTCAGGTTCTTTCCAAATTTATGATTTTCTGGTGGTTTTTTTAGACCACTGATGAAAAAAAGGTTAATTGACATAATCTAGAACAAATTTCTGTAAAACTACTAGAAACAGACCAACGTGTTAGTTATTTACTCACCTACACCTGTGTTTTGATACCCAAAAAGTAGATTTTAAATTCCATTTAATAATGTTCAGAATAGTGACTCTGCATTATTTCATTTTATCTAGTCTGCATAAAACTACATCAACAATTGAAATTCTGAATCCAGGGCAAAAAAAATCTACTTGTATGCTTCTCTCTGTGCTATTGTTCTGAGCATACTTTCACACCAACATTCTTCCATAAATGGGATAAAAATACATTTTTACCATGAACAGGAGATCCTTCCTCAGCAAACAGACAAGGTTCAAGATTCTTCAGAGCACTTCTGCCCTCAAGTCGTGCAAGCAGCTTTCAAAGAAAAGACAGGAAAGACATGCTGTTAACTCAAAATCATGGGCCTTGGGAATCAGATGTAAAGGATTCTGAGAACTGAAGAGTTTTCCATGACAAACCTATCAAAACAGTACTCTGATGTAAAAAATGTTTTCATAAATACATATGGAAACCTATAGTCTGGACTACAGCAACAGAAGGTTCCATCCTTACAAAGAAAAAGAATGCAGATTCAATGGCAGTAAAAGGTGGATATACATTAGGGGAATAAAGCTTAAAAAGAAAAAGCTGCATAGATAGACTAGCAGGAGGGATCACCCCAGGTATACAGTGTTGCCATTTGAACAGAATACAGGGAAAGAAGTTAACTGGGTAATAACCATCACCTCCACAACAAACTGTTGCTCGAGAGGTGAACCATTACCCATCATTAGCCTCCTGAGTCAGTCCCTCTGAGCATTTGTAAGTAAAACCATGCACATTTCATCTGAAAAGTTACGCAGGTCTCTTCTGGACTACAGCCCTATTATATCATCATTACTTGTTCAAACAGAGTATGGATTAAGGATGATGAAAAGTAATTAGCCACCAGTGGCTCTACATGAACCTTTCTAAAGCAAGCCTGAATTTGTAAAGCAAGTTCCTCCAAAGCCCCTTGTAAAACAATTAGTCCAAAGTTCATGGTCAGTTTCTTAAATTGACAGATATTTGCATAGGAAGTAGACAGGTATCCACATAACTTGTTTTATTTGTAGTTCTGGCATATGTTTGTAAACCAAGAATGCACATTTTATCCAGTGCTACAGCTGTTACTCCCTACATGTATTAACACACATGGGAAAGGAAACGATCCGGTTGCTCAGAGCATTGCCAGAGCACGCACCCCAGTGCCAAATACTTAATTCTACAAGACACCCAGTTACCATTTAAAGATTTAAATAAAACAAATTCCATTCAGTTTTATCCCATCCTCCTTAAAGCCAGTCACAAAAGGTGCAGTAAGCACACACCTTTAAACACACCACTGCCTTATCTTGCTTTCCTCCCTGCCACATTTATGAGCAACATCTGCTTTGAATTGTCTTACAAGTTGTTTAAACAGTTGTGTGTGTTTGCCTTTAACAGCAGAATAAAACTCCATTGAATGGCCCTGAATTTACTTCAAATGGTCACAATGGGAATCTAAATGTGACATTTTCACTGACATTTTAACATTCCCTTCCATTACCAAAATGTCAGTGTGCATGCCTTTGTTTGCCTGTTCACACATATTCAGAAGAGTTTTCTGACAGGTCCACTGAAGGGCCATAAAAAGGCACCTGAGTTGACCTTGCTGTGCATCTGCAGAGGCACCCCATACATTTCACGCATTTGTACGGCACAGAAAACTCTCACGAGGTGAGCTCTTGAGTATTTTGGGAACCAGCAGGGTCCTGGGACCTGGGCAAAGCAATAATCCAGATGGCAAGGAGAGGTCGCACCACCAGAGAGACGGGCTGGGAACCTCTCTCCCCCACCAGCCGGCAGTGGAAGTCCGGAGAAACAGGAAAACCACCACAGGCTGCCGCTTTCTGATGCTCTTAATGTTTTAGCAAAGGAAACACTGCTCAGCGATCAGAGGGGCTCGATGGTGGGTGCTGTGAGTCACAGCCATTGAGGGTCTAAACACATTTCTGCAGCCTCATGCTCCCCAGTTTATTAGCACATTAATGAATATATCTTCTGTAGTTGGGAAATCATGAGACCCTGTCTTCTTAGACTGTCACTCCTCTAAGCACACTGCTAGAGCTTTGGAAATACATGGTGGGTCAATCACTAGAGTTTAAATATGAATCTGTGGTTATTTAAATGCCGAGTTTATATATTCATTTTAAGTAACTACAGGTGCTTACTCCAAGCACTGCTCATGTAGGTAATTTATGCTAATTCAGTGATGATGGCACACCTGTGTTTTTATCAAACTTGTATTTACTTCCGAGTTCTGAAGCAGAATCTCCAAAGGCACTTGCCTCATTAGTGTCATGCTGGGAGCAGTGGGGTTCCTGGCAGAAACAGCGAACAGATTTCCTTCAAATCTGACAAAGGTTTGTCCATACTACAGAAGTGATGTAAGCAAAGCTGAGATGAGGTACTACACCAGCATCCCTCACCTCTGCTAATACTAAAGAGGGACAACTTGAGTTTCCCCAAATGGGCAACCACCACCTTTGTTCTGCTTCAGGGAGGGCACTTCATTTTGCCTTCTTGTGTTTCACCTGTAAAATGAGGAGGGGGAAAAAGCTACAGCATTTAAAGGGTATCTGGAGGCATCCTTGCCCATGACAGAGGGATTGGAACTAGATGATCTTAAGGACCTTTGCAACCCTAACCATTCTGTGATTTTTTGGTGGACATGAGGTGTCCCAAGCTTTGTCACAGACAGTATATGGAACAGAGCAGGGGAGCACCACTGAGGAAAGCCTCTGAACTGCAGTGCTTGGGGAAAAAACCCACCCAAACAATTTCAGCTCACATATTAGAGACTTCAGATTCTATAATTGAACTGTAGATGCTCGTTTCTTCTTTCATAATGCTCTTTTTGCCTTCTTTTATACAAAATGCCACCTCTTAGCAACCTGCTAGTGGTAGATCTTTGCTCTTAGGTGTTCTCAGAAGTGTAATTATGCTAGCAAGAAACTGCACATATGTGCAATTAGGTACAGAAAACTAGCTATACAGCAAGAATTAGGTGACAGCAGGGTTAAATTCCATTAATGACAAGGCTGGCGGGACTCAAATATTTCAACTATGTCTAATTCATCAATTTAATCTTTTTAATAAAGAAATATGTGTATGGACAGTCCCACTAACACATTACATGCTTAAACTGTATTGGTTTCAATGAAGCTATGCATAAATGTAAGGAATATTACCTCATTAAAATGTTAAAGAAATTCAAATTAAATACTCCAGCTCTGCTAGAGACTGCGAGCTACCCTACAGGCTATTTACACATGCAAACCTACCTTAAGTACAAGGCACAATTTAATTTTCAACCACTGTAACTGCTCTGACTGAGCTTTTGTAAACTATGGGCACACAGACTTATGCAAGCAATTTATCACTTATTTTTCTGTGATATACCAAAGGTGTTTTGCAAGAAGTTCTAATTTGTTGCATTAATTACATTCAACAATAAGAGTACAAGACTGTGGTCTTAGTGTAACTCTCAGAGAGACCTGACCTTACACACAAGGCTATTTGAGGAAGTCTTGTTTTAAATTAAGCATTTTCTATTTCAAGGGCTTTTACCATTTTTTCTAGACAATGTACTCCTACATTAACCTTCCTTAAGCCATCAGTTATCAATTCCTCCCTCGCTCAGGTTTGGTTATCCATCCCACTACTGGTGCTGCCGTGTACACTTCCTGTTAGCACTGCTTATGCGGACAATAAATGCATTTACCCACTTGGACACAGAGCACAACTCACATCCATCATTTGTGCACACGTGCTCACTGTAGCACAGCTGTTACTGCATTTTATTTTTAAGTGTCAAAAAGGCTTCTTACTGAAAAAACATGGAGCTTTAATGAGAAGTTATCACTCATTTCTGTGTTTGTATGTGCGCTACTTTTAATATTCTGACATAGTAACACACATTTTCAAGCAATTAACTTGCTGACTGCCAGGCTGGATGGGGCTTTGAGCAAGCTGGTCCAGTGGAAGGAGCCCGTGACTGTGGCACGGGGGTTGGAACTAGATGGTCTTTAAGGTACCTTCCAACCCAAACCATCCTTATTCTGTGACTGCCAATTAAACCATCCAGCAGAGAAAAAAAAACAAACCCCCAAAACCAACACCCCAAACTAAAATACCTTTTCTCTGAAAAAAAGCAATTCCACCGCTTTTGGTTAAATAAACTGTTTATTTAACCAAAAACTTCCCTCACGACTCTTCCTTACTGCATCCACTCCAATGTTTGGGAGAGAGCGCGAAGGCGGCATTTACACAGGAACTACTGGAGCACCCCGAATACCCCGTCCCACGCCCCCCGCTGCAGGAGATCCCACAACAGGGTTTCAGCCCGGGTCCCTGCACACAGCACCCGGCCGGAGCCTCCCGCTGCCCCCACCAGCACAGCCGAGGAGTTCCAGGGGGGCCCCAACACCCACGGGCGCCTCCTCTCAGCGTGAGGCGCGCCCCGGGACTGCTGACAGGGCCCCGCTGCCCCCGGCTGCGGGGAGGGGGGAAGGGCGGCTGCGGCGGCGGGAGGGCGCGGCTCTCCTTCCTGCCCTCACACCCCGCTACCCCGGGAGGCTCCGCGGCCCCCGGGCGCTCCCTCCGCCCGCCCCAAGGGGGTGGGGATGGAGCATAGCCCCGCCAACACGGGCTGGGCGGAGCGGAACGCGCAGTGCTTCCCCTCGCCCTCCCCGAGCGCCTGGGCACGGCCGCCGCGGGCAGGTGGTGCCCGGAGCTCGGTGCCCGCGGCTGAGGGGAACCCAAGGGATGGGGGGGTGGCAGCGCCTCACCTGAGTGCCCGACTCCGCCCTCCGGAACGGGTCACCCATGGCACAGCGGAGGGAGGGGGCGCAGCGCACGCTACAGGGCCGCGGAAGCCACTGCACATGCGCGCTGCCGCGGGCTCGCTGCGCCCCCGAGCGAGCCCTCGTAGGCCTGAGTGGCTCTCTGCGCATGCGTGGCTCGGCCCCAGGGAGGGCAGGGTGAAGGCGGTGTGATGCAGGTTCGAGTCCTGGCTCGGGCTCGTGTCGCGGTGCAGGTGTAAGCATCGCGGCGCAGGCCTGAGGGACCGGTCGCTGAAGGAAGGTGGTGCGTTATTTGCTTTTAGTTAAAGGACCTCTGTTTTCATAAGTCTGTGGGTTTTTTTCTTCCCTGATGAGGAGGGCAGTTCGGTCGGTGTGACTGAAGGGGTGCTCATCCATGACACAGCAGTAGATGTGAGTCAAGGGAAGCTCATCCGCGTGGCCACAATCAACGCTTGACGCCTGCGAAATTGCTCTTTGCAAAAGCCAGCTATCAATTATGGCTTAGCTTAAAAGGGCTCTGGAACATTTTAAATACCCACCTTGAATGAGCTGGGCTCGTGTGATGCTCGATGCTCGGGGCAGGGACTGACTGGTGAGTCCCTTGGGTGGCTGTGGCCAGCAGCAGGACTGCTTCCTCCTGCAGACCATGGCCCGTCCACTGCGGTTGTGCAACCTGTGGCGGCGAGAAGGATGGGCACAGGGAAAACACGGGAGAACCTGTTTGTTTTTTCCACAGGCTAAATGCAAAACCACCAGGATAAGAATAGCAGCCCCTGTGTATCTGCATATCAAAGAGCTGTAATGATACCATCCGTTTGGGTTTAGTGAGGTTATTGGTGATACTGCACGTTCTTAGCAGGGGAAACTGGTGGTGGAGTTCTTTCTTTCTTCAAAGAAGTTGTGTTTGCCTGTATAAAAAGTTTTTGCTGTCTTGGTCCTGAATGTACCATAGATCAGATAAATCTAACCTCTGGTGCAAGGCTGTGGCTTTGTTTACTTCTGCAACCCTCTTTCAGCCCAAAATATGCAGCTCAAATTCAAAACACCCTACTGTTGCCCCTAATTGGAGGTTTTAGATGGGTGCTGCTTGCCTCCACAAAGTCAGCCACATTTAACCCAGTTCAAACCAGTCCTTTTAGTGTCAAGTCCTAATACTGGTCATTAAAGTACAGAAAGGAGATAGTTTCTTTGCACAGCCATAGTAGTCTTCCTTTTCTGTTTATGGATACACATACAAAATTACCAAGAGCATGGAATGTGGTTCTCTAGTGAGAAAGATATGGATGGCTGCAGGGGGGATAGACAGACACATGGCATAAAAATGCAACTACAATGCTATTGGTTTAATTTTATTAAAGGGTGTCTCCACCTTGCCTTCTGGAAGAAGTCAATATAAGGAAAAGAAACCTTAAGAGCTGCATGTCTGACTGTTGTCATGTTACCTTAGAGGTCCAGACCATGTTCCCTGGATGAGTTCAAAAGATCTGTTAATTAGAAGTGATTGCGCTTGAAGCTGACTGATGACTGATGACTGAACCTGACCCAAGAGTAGACTCGCTGTGACTTACGACAAAGACACTACTCACTGCATCAACCACACAATATGTTTTCTTTTTTTTAATTACAGGTTCTTTGTTGCTGTTGTCCTCTAATTAAAGCCACTGCACTCATTTTATAAAAAGTGATTGCTACTTGAATTCAAAGACATAAAATACACAGCACACGTAAATGCCAGTCGACTGAAACCCACTCCTACCACATCATTTACCACTGCCTGTATCCCAGGAGGGTCCTATGGAAGCTCTTCTACTGCATGGGTGAACACAGTTTTGGTGTTAACAATCTAATGCAAGATGAAGCATCACAGCTCAATGGAGATCAAGCAACAAAGATTCCATAGAGAGGGTAAAAACATTGAATTCACTGGAGCAGTAAAAAAAAAAAAAAAAAGAAATTTAATTGCTTGACATATTTAGTACATAACAGTTAGGAAAGTGTAAATCTAATACACTGGTCACCTTGACAGGCAGATTGCCACAACTTCTCATATGTTCCCTTCACATCCATTTGCTCCATATAGTGTAGATGATACTATGAAGTCAGAAAACTGATACTTTGACAGCACTCTTCCTTCATAGAGACTCACATTGCTGCTTTTTTCTTTTCATTTGTTTGTCAATACTATCACTTCTCTCCTTTGCAGATCAAAAGCTAGATTTTGGCCATGATGCAAACTTAAAATTTTAATCCCAAACCAGCCTTATGTAGATCTTTGTCTAAACTAACCTGTTCGCTGCACTTCATCAGTCAGCATCACCGGCATCTCAACAAATTTCATATTGTAGTATTTTCCGCAAAGCTCTCTATGTATTTCTTATCCATTCATCTTTTTGTTTTGTTTAGGTTTTCTATCTGCAAAATAAACCTCTGCATTTACCTTGCTCCTTTGGAGAAAAACAGTAACATATATAAGCAGGAAAACTCCTTACCATTGGCTTCAGCAGAGCCAGGATTTTACTGTCTGTTTTTAGGTTTGTGTTTGGGGGGTTTCCCTTCTTTTTATTTTTTTCCTCTTTTTATATATTCTGTCTCCATTCTTTCAGATTTCTCTGTAGTGTTTCTTAATGATAGTGTGTGATCCAGGAGTGGATGATCCTACCCGCTCCTTACTCTTCCTTTTTAAATAGCAGAAACCACCTTAATGCAGAATCCTCCTTAATGCAGTATAGCTATAAGTAGCTCATAGTATCCAGGGACTCTATGGCCCAGCACTGCTTTCTACAGGCAGAAAATTAGTCTTCCTTTGTGTGGCATGTGGGGAGCCTGAAGGTGCCCCTGGAGCCACAGTCACTGTTCATGTAGCAATTGAGCAGCAAGAGCAATGACTTCTGTAACAGCAGAAAGATCAGACTCTAGGGGTGTGAATCTCCTTCCTTACAAAATGTGTATTGTGGAGAAAATTGCTCTTTCCCAGTCTTGATTTTGAACATCTTCTATCCTGAGATGCTGTGTTTTCCACTCCACATAGTTAAGACCTTCATCATAGGGAGAGAAAATGGCAGTACAAGAGAAGAAGGTATTTAAAGTGGAGTTGCAGCCATGAGCAAAATTATTTTTGATTTTTTAATTGTTAATATCTGCTCATTCAGATGTTCATCACTGCTAATTTTGGTCAAGATGTAGGAAACTAGGCTGGGTTCTGGGGGAACAAAGGACTAGCCCAGGTGCCCTGAGGCTGTAGGGAACTGAATCTAATGTTTATAGAAATGTTTAATTTCTTTTTAAGAAGCAAAGTCCTAACTTTAAATTGCCAGTTGGTCTACAGTACAGAGCCAGTCTAAAGAATTAACACAAGGAACAAGGCCTGAGGTAAGAGCTTAAACAAAAGGGAAAAACATGAGGAAACTCGGTGTGGTGACAAAAAATTTAGATTGTTTGGAAATGTTTGTAAAAAAATATATCAGACTCTTATATTTAATTAAATAATAGCTAAATTAGAAACTGGAACATAAATGTTTCCTCCTTTAAGCATTTTCTTTCTAGCCACAGAGATTTTGCTCCAACAGACGCTTCATCATTTTGAGCGTATTGTCACTTAATGTTCCCTCGTAAGATTTGTGTGGGTGACATTCCAGCACAAACTAGCTCCAAACAGATCTTCTGGGTTGAAAACAGTTTGTCTCTGTTCATAGAGTTGAATTAAACTCTCAGTAAAGTCAGCTGTTGTTTTTCTAATTAACCTCTAGACTTTTAAATACCCTCACTGCAAATGTGACAAACTGACTCTCTGAAAAGTCATTAAATGGAAGAATCACTCCAAGACATAAAATAGAAAGGGCTCATTTTCTAGTTTTGTCTTACCTATTCCTTTGTGTAGTAATGCTCAAAACCCCAAAGGTTTACCAACTAAAGACCATATCAAAGTTGTAAGTAGACCTCAAAAAAGATTATTAATGGTAAATAATATTAATATAGTATTATTACTAATAATAGTAGCAGTAGTAAAAATTAAGACTTGAGGTAGATGTTGGATGTTACATGTGGCAAAGCAAATGATGATCTGCCCATTGGATCATTTGCAAGCTCTCTGTTATGTGACTCTTCCAGATTCACATTGCTGACTTTCAGCCCCACTGTTCCAAGTTTCTCTCAGTGAGTGAAGTGATCTGTCACTGCGTTTTATTAGATTTTGTTTTAGAGCAGATGGCCGATTCTTTTTACCTGGAGAGCTGCCACTGTCTTTAGATACATCTCAGTTTT